GGCTTGACCCCCAGTAAGCTGATTGGGATCTGCTTACTGCAGTGGCTGTTGTTCAGAGGATTTGCGGAATAGAATGTTTTTTTGCACATGCACACCAGTAAGGCCTATTTCTTTAGATCATGAACTTGATTGGTTGCTCAGGCTAAACAATCTGTGCACAACAGCTGTGGTTCTGAACCGTTGGAAATCTATACAATTGAGCAGTTTGGATTCCAAATGTACAACTTCCAAAGACATCTCCCCGTTTCCAACGGATCAGACATGTTTTAGCAGCGTGAAGGAGCAGTAAGTAGAAAAACAGTCTGTTTGCTGCAGTTTTTTCCCCAATCTGACTGCTTGAGCGATCTCGCAGCTCGCATCTAGGCAAATTGCAACCCAGGCAGGGCAGAGACATCATGCACCGCCACGGACCTGACAACTATGCATACTATACAGCATTGTGTCTAACTTGAAATTGGGTTCACAAGCTCAAACCCATCATCAACCAATGGGCTGTCCTCACCCACAGGTGCCGGATGGTGAGCAGGGCTGCCGCCATCTGGTGCATGCTCAGCTTGGTTGGGGCCAGTGTCAGGGCCATTCTCTTCCAATTTTTTCTGGAAGAATGTGAAGCCCGTCCACTTTCCCTTGGCTTTGGCCACCTCCTTGAATGTTTTGTCGGGTGGCGTATCCCAGTGGTCCAAGTGGATCCCCGTTCTGCCGCCTTCCCGTCATAGAATACGATGGATACCCGTTGCCCGGACAGCTCACCAGCTTCTGGTGGATAGCTGGAGTGCAGCGGGTGAAACAAACCCACCCTTGCCTTCGGATGTGTCCTGTAGATCCACTTCTGGCAAGTTCCCCATCTGGCTGCGCCGGTGGGCGGTTTCCGAAACACTGCATGGTCCCATGGCTGATCCATCTCTGCCAAGGTTTTCTGCTTTTCGCCGCCAGCAGATGGCTGCGCGGTCGCGGAAGGCATTGGGTCTCCTAAAGGTATATGTTTCACTTTCTGAATCCCCTTGAACCCACAGGCTTGCAATGAGACACTTAGGCAGGTAGGTTTAGTGTGCCCACTGCAGTAAGCAGATCTGGAATCTGCTTACTGCAGTTCCCTGTCCCCTACAACACTGCAGTAAGCAGATTCCAGCTCTGCTTATTGCAGTCCCTCTCCCCTCTTTCTGCTATGCCAAGTTTCCGTCAATGGTACTGCAGCAGACATGACTTCCCGCCTTGCCACATCTATATACTGCAGTGCCCTTTCAGGATATCCACAGCCGCTGAACATGCTTGAGGAACCAATGCACCGCGACTGCCACAAGAGGGAATCTGCATGAGCATCCCCCACATGCGAGATTCCAACTTTGGCCCATCGTTGGTGCTCCACCAATGCCGGACTCGGGACCGACATCGCTGGCAACCCTGCTGTGTAAATTGAATTCCTAAATCCCCTCTCATGACCTTTGTACACTGTATGCATGTATGTATGTATGTATGAATGTATGTATGTATTTATGTTTTTGTGAGCTGTGCGCGGCAACTCCCCAGGAGACACATGTAATTATTGTAGACTTTTGCGCTTATTGTATATGTAGATGGACAGTCTCCACATAAATATGCATCTTTTGTTCTCCTACAACTGCCACTGGTGCTGACCGGCGGGGAAATTGCACCAAGCACATGTACAAGAGAACTGATGCAGGAATGAGGACTGCAGTAAGCAGAAAATTTGGTCCCAAGAACGTGTCAACAAACCCACTCAGACATCTTTCTGCTTACTGGGGGGTGGCCCAAAACATGCTTATATCTACCCTCCTCGAAAGTGGTCAAAATAGGCCAAAAAGCGCCTGCAGTAAGCAGAAAAATCTCTGCCTACAGGCCGTCCGTGACTATAATTGCGTCTAGCAATGCTTTATCAGGTACAAGGTTAAAATTAGGATCAATCACTCGAATGTTCTCAGGGTCTCCACAGATTGACACAATTGATTCGGATGCATTGGGGTTTGTTCTGCAATTGGTATCCGAAAAAGAACTCCACAAGATCTGGTTGTGCAGCCCCGAAAGCAAGCAACTCCCTGTGGATAGATCCGACTCGCCGGAGCTCTTCGCAGGTCGAGATCAAGAAGTGAACGTCACTTTGAGGCCGCGGTAGACGGAGGGAAGGAACTGCTCGTTGCTCTTTTTGGTGTTTGGTCGAGAAGAACTCTTTGCACGTCGCATCATGTGGTTCAGGTTTATACATCCCAGTTGCCGAGTCTTGAAGGGAAGAAGTGTGAAGCTTCAAAAAGGCGAGGTTGACTATGAGCTACTCAGTTCATTTGGGTGGGTACACCGGTTCACCGGTCAGGTTCTAGTCGGGGGTTTGCGTATGTTGAACTTTCGGGCTCTGGAATGCCTTTCGACACGATACGCCGGATGTTTTTGACAAAGACAAGGTAACAATAAATCCAGTTCGGGATATCTTGAAGGTGGAACTGAAGACTTTCCAGACGCTTGGCATCGTGTAGCATCGCGTAGCGGCGTAGCTGTCCTTCACTCCGCTGATTGCAGTTTCTCTCAAACAGTTACGCCAATGTTCAATGCAGACCTCGGTTATGCCGAAACATTTGGCCTGTTTCCAGTCCGGCACAGTGGAGGTGGAAAGGAGGGAGTGTTTGCAGGAGTCCTGGAGTGGAGGAATTTTCGCACCTGAATAACTTTTTCAGTCCAATCCCTGGTGCAGAACGTTCAACGAATCTTTCTCAAGTGATTTAACATATGTTTAACTCAACAGTAGAAGCTACTGTAGAAGGCCTAGTCGTTGTGCTCCTCAAAAGCTCCAAAGCCCTGAAGGGTCATGCTCTTGAACTTCTCACTTCACCAAAAGAAGGTTCTACAGTTGTTTCAGGAACCCAATTCAGGAACTTGACCAAAAGAAGGTTCCAACCTTTTGGTCGGGGGTTCACCAAAAGTTCCAATTTCAGGACCCAGTTGCAGAGTGTATTTCTTTGAACCTCTCACTTCACAGTTACTACTCAGGAACTTGAACCCAATGTCTTCCAGAACCCCCGGACCGACCACACCGGCCATGGCACGACCGGAGAGGTGGCCCCACAGCACCGCCGACCTCTCCGCGGAGGTCCTCGCGGGCTCGCTCCGCGCGCTGAACGGCCCGGAAGATCCCAGGACGGCGAGAGACCGTGCGCCACGTTGGTCCCGTTGAATCAGATCAGGTGAAACGCCTGGAAACCGGTTCGACCTGTTCGCTCCAAGGCTTGGAAGAAGTTGTCTCATCTCGATCTTCCATTTAGGTGCCATGTCCCATCCACCAACCGCATCAGGTTGGGGAGCTCTGGCCATCAACCGCTTTGGCCCCGCATCATCCGGCCACCTCCAGGCACGTTGCTCCACGGCCACTGCACGTCGCGTGGGATCGCAGTGACGTGCTGTGCCTCTCGCTGACGCTGCCGGGCTACGCGCTGGCCACGGTGTCGGCGACTGGGACAAACCAGAAGTCGTCGCAAGTAGTCCAAGCAGTGGAAGAGGCAGGCAATTTTCAGGCCTGTCTAAGAGTCTAAGCCTCCTTCTTCAGAATATACCATGCAGTCTTTAGCTCTGGGTATCGTTGCCAGAGCTACTCCACCAACCCCATCCCGTCTACACACGGCCGAAGTATACCGGCCGGTGCGACACCGAAAAACCTCGTCCGGACGAGGTCTTGGCTCCTGAAGTGGTCCTCGTGTGAAACGCGGAAGAACCGTTTGCACCGTTGGCGTTTAGCCGTGGCGTGGCCACTTGGCACAGAGACTGGCGCTGTAGACTTCTAGAGACAGCTTGTGACCCTAGAGGGCTGCCCTTTACTGGCGCCCTGTAGCACAGACTTGACTTTACATTCATGCGGAATGAGTACCAAAGCCAAAGGTCATCAGATTTGTTGGGCTCCAGAGATCGTTGTGTGGGCCCATGAGCATGCAGTGGGCTGACATGTCGAATGTGATGGTAAAACACCGGAAAGCAGATAAAGCAGTAGCCTTAAGGGCCTTAAGGAGGATCAACCATGATCAATCGACATGCAAAGTGTGTGTGTGACATGGTAACTCACTTTCATCTGAGAAAATGCCCCCAAACCAGGCTCGGCGGTGTTGTTTTGGTAGGAACACGTCAATACAGCTTGCCACCAGGAGGGTCTGGACGGATTGGGTGACGGTCTCTCCCAGGCGAACCAACCGCGAAGCAACCCCCAGGGCGTTGGGCGAGCGAACGTGGATCGCGGATCGCGTGGATCCTGACCTCTGAGCTCAAGGCACGACAGGCTGCGCCAGACCCGACAGGCTGCGCACCTCGCAAGACATCCCTTTTGTGCCAGATTCGATTTGGGTTCTTGTTGATGAGCTCCTTTTGTTGAGCCCGAAAAACGGAGGAGGCCCTGCTTTGATGGTAGACGGGCACTGGCACCAATGCAGGTAAGATATGTGGGTTTTCTGCATGGATTCCTGGCATCCACTTTGTACACAGATATCGACATGGACCAGATATAGGGGTTGAACACGGAACAAAGAGATCCTTTCGTGTGGCTCCCTATTTCTGGTCGGCGAATTGTTTAATTCAGCGAGATGGGCCTTTGCCTATACCGGCTTGAGCGATGGAGAAAAGACCTGGCGGAACAAGAAAGCGACGTTTTCCAAGCTGATTTCTATTTGCGCCACGAAATGGCATGAACTGCGACGAAATAATTGGCCAAATGCCATGAAACATCATGAAAAGACTGTCAGACTTCCTAAGGCGGGCCGAGGAAGGGCCAGCGGCACTGGTCGTGGGGCGCCCTCCACGAGGCTTGTGGGCCAACTGGGCTTGAGAGGATTTCTCCAAGCAAAAGCGCATGAAAATAGACCCACATCTATCGTATGGGTATGGGTTTCTTTCTTTGAAACATGTTTGAAGCTTGTTCTATCTTGTTCTGGTTCAGTAAAGTGTATCATTCAAGCTAGAAGAACTCAGCCCTTTGCAGATATGATATGTTTCATCTGCAGGCCGAAGGCGCCTCCCTCTGCACCGGCACCCAAGCCCGCAGCAAAGAAGGCGCAGACTTGCCGGAGTCCTGACACCAAGAGATGAGTGCAGTCAATAGATAGAGAATGAAAGGCAAAATTGCTCAAGCCTGAAGCCTTACTGTAAGAGATAACTCACGTAGACACGTAGCTCAACAATGACCTGACTGGTTCTATAAGCACTTCAATATCACATCAGATATACGGTACCAACCAACCAGGTCAGAATCTCCACTATGAACCTCCTACCAGTCACCAGCCTGTCACAGCATGCAGCATGTCACTGTCACAGGCCGCGGCCAAGCCGAAGCCAGAGCCTAAGGCTCCACCGCCCAAGGCGCCGGCGCCGGCGCGGCCGGCACCTGCCGCGCCTGCCGCGGCGCCGGAGGCGAAGCCCAAGGCGGCGCCCAAGGCGGCGCCGGCGAAGGCCACGGCGCCCAGGTGGGGAGACAGAACGGAGGGTTGGTTGAGGTTGGCGAGGTGAGGTTGGTGAAAGACATCTTTCAAAACTAGTGGCGAACTAAAAGAATGGAGTTCTTTTTTTTTGAGAAGGCAGTGACATGAAGTTGAAATTCCTTTGAAGATGGCTTTCCAAGCCCCAAGCCTTGACAAGGCCTCCAGAGTGCAGGGATTTGACTGTTTTGATCGAACCGGTCGGATCTCCTCATCCGGTGCCAGGCCGAAGAGTAGGACCGGCTCGTTACCCTCGGCCGGCAATTCGGTGACTTGGCCAAGTCGGGAGTGGTGGGAGTCGGGTCAGGGGATCTTCCGGACATTGCGACAACATGAGGACCAGTGAGTTGAGTGATCTGACCAGCGAGGTGAGGAATAGACCAGCGAGGTGAAGTGCTCCAACATTGCTGGGGGAAGTAGTGTGGATATGTATGGATGGGCTTGCTGCTTCATCCTGCCTCATCCTGGAGGGACATGACATCCAGCGCCGGAATGGCCATCAGACATTCTGCGCAATGAGACATTCTGTGTCTTGATTCTTTCTTCCATCACGGATCATAACAAATAATCCGAGCAAATAAACAGCTGAGTTATCATGAGACATCTGAGTTATGCATGCAGACATCCCTCTAGACGTGCTTTGGTCTTGGGTGACACGGGAGGATCCGGTTGACTGGATGCATGGCGCATGAGGTCCCGGATGTACGGGTGTTGACTCGTAGCCTCCCTCTCTGTTGACGTGACACGTTTGTCTCAGGAAAAAGAGAAGTGAACCATGTCCAACACATGCTGACCTTCAATTTATCCGTGAACGTGGTTCTTAATTATGGTTCTTATATATGTCATGTTCTTATCTTGAGAGCAACATAGCGTTCCCCCCCAAACCCGAAGTCGAAACAGCTTTCGTCCACGCGGCATGATTCAAGACAAACATCTTTTCATGGTGTCATGGTACCATGACAAGATCAAAAAAACACCATGGTCCTTTGACAAATAATACTACAAAATTACAAACATTACTGCCACCTTTGACCATGTCCACCTTAGATTCGTCCAACAACACGACCGACTCGTGACTCGTCCTTCTTCGTTTTTTTCTTCGCTCAGGCGAGGAGTGGGTCCAAGCCTGGGACACTCAGCGGTATGTGCGTTGCGTCGCGGCGCCGCGGGTCACCGCGGGTGGGCTTCGGGACTCTTGGGCTGATGAGTCGTGATCGTCGTGGATTCAGAGTAGATGGCACCAAGAGGTGGTTTATATGGGACCCCATCGGACATTTTAGATGCTGTGCCATCTACTCTGAAACCACTGTAAATAGCTTCTTGATGGCCTCCAACCTACTTGCGATTGCCTCCTAGAAGCTACGAGGCCATCGCTATTAGGTTGGAGGCCACTACTACTAGGAGCAAGAAGCTATAGTAAGAAGGGCATCGCTACTAGTAGGAGAGAGACAATGTCTTTCTATAAAGAGTTAAAATAGTAATTCGCCCCACCCGGGGATGTTCCTTGGGCGGAATCCGAAACGAGCACGGTAGAAGAGGTTGGGGGTCTTTATTGATCAAGAGTCTGCACTGTCTACATTAAGTTACTGGTCTAAAGTTACTGGTACTTGCGACATGTTAGAAAAGTTTGGTTTTAGATTTCTCAGGACTGGTTCTAGAACTAGTCTGCTCCATATTCTGGTTGTACAAGGGTGAAGTTCGGCCATAAATGAAAGGAACTCACCGTTCCTTGTGCAAGCTGAATCAACATGTTTGTAAATGTGGCAACACATATATCAACACAGTGTGTATTTGGGTTGTATTTGGGTTTAATAGGCCTCTTAGACTATAGACTTGGACTGCATTGAAATGCCCACCTGGCGCCAGTGAATTGACCCATCTTTCGGACCGGCGCCGGCCGAGCGCCAGCGTGAAAAAAAACGTGCGAGCGAAGGGTAAAAGGACAAACATGGACTAACTGGATGCTTGATTTCAACAGTTGGGGCAAACGCAGAATTCGGATCAGTCATGTCGCGACACAGGTTTTGACAAACCCTGTGCACAACCACTTTGTGGCCTCAGTGCCGAGTACTGCAGAGCCTGTGAGGCAGTCAGAAAGCCGACCTGAGAGCCGCCCTGAGTCGCGAGGTTCGCATGCGATGGCAATCGCGCGTGGGGGGACGTGTGCGGGCAAAAGCGCAGGGACGGTAGGACGGTGGGGAAGGGCTTGGCAGGTGTTTCTACAGATCAGCTTGGAAAATGCGTGTGGACAAAAGTCTTTTGTAGGTGGAGCAGTTCGGTCCTTTAAAGCTTGAGTCTATGCTAGCTGCTAGCTTTCATTCATGGCCTTTTTTTTGGGCTTTGGTTTGGTCAGGAGAAATCACCTATAGTCTTTCTTTCGGAGAGGTTGTTTAATGTTGTTGGAACAGCACAGGGAGTGGGGTGTGGGGTAAAGCTGGCCGTAGTGGGAAAGAGGTGGTCGCCCACCCAGCAACCAAGTTCACCAATGATCCCACCACATTTTTGGGTGCCATGTTGTAGTCCCATTGGCCATTGAGTGAGCTTAACATTAATATCTAGTCTGAGTGCCAGTGGTGCTTTTTGCCCAGAAACAGGTGCTCCACTGGGCCTTTGCTAGCGACTTCATGAGTCATGGAGACCTGGTCATCGAGACTCGCAGCGAATCACTCTGTTCACCTGGGCATGTTGGATCGAACTGCTCCCGTGCAGGCGAGACGCCGAAGGCGACTGGCGGAGGATGACGCGGGTTGTGTCTAAGCAGGTTGATGTGTCGAAGCAGGTAGATGTTGGAATTGTTTTGGCATGATAGTTGTCCCCACTCCCGAGAGAAAGGCTTAATCCTTTTGAGGGACCGTTACCGGAGCATCATCCACTTTTGCCGGGTGACTTTGTGACTTTCTAGATGCTTTTCGGTCATTTCTTCCTTCATCCTCCTTCAATCAACAGGTTATCAAGCGTGACCTGGTAGAGCACTCTGAAGGGTGATTGGTGGCCCTACCTACCAGTGGAAACGAGCGGCCCAGCCCTGCGGCCATGGCCACCATGTCCCTGGCCGCACAGCCACTAGCTTGCTGCTTTGCTCGCTGCGCCAGGCCAAACCCAAGGCAAAGTCTTCGACCTCCAGTCGCTGCTCAGCGAAATGTGGTGAACATGTTTTCCACTCTGATTATACTTGAAGTATCTGAGATGATGTCATCAAAGCTGTGAGCCGAGAATGAGAAGATGAAAAAGGACGAGTTCAATTTAGAAGTCTCTATACAGGCTTGCATTGTTTGTGTTCCTCTTCTCGCCTGAGGATTCAAGGGGCTCTCTGCTGAGGCATGGCTGAGAACTGGGGGGGTGGTGTGAAGGGTAAGGACTGTGTGTGTATGCCGACTTCCAAATCTTGTGTCTTGGCAGTTTGATGTGTCCAGCAAGCCTTTGGTCTTGACATGTCTTGGCCGTTTTGTGGCACCAAGGTATATTCAAGTTCACTCACGTGCAACCTCAAGATCACTATGGGTTTTAAGAACATCATCATGAGGGGCTTCTGGATATTGGTTATGTGATGAAATGTGAGGACCAAGCAAGCACAAGCGCCTTGCACAACGATAAACAGCCAAAGGGTCTCCAGATATTGTTCTGATCGAAACGAATTCATTCAACATACCGGACGACGCATCCCTTGCATCGCAGCTGAAACATGGTGTGAGTGATCACATGATGCCGGAATAGGTGAAACAGGGTGAACTCCAAGGGGAAAACATACCAAGTTGCAGGTGTCCATCATTCGCATCCCATCCGTCCTCCTAGCCTGGTGTCATGCATCTTCATTGGCTTTGGGTGCCAACCGCCTTCCGCTCGCCAGGCCACCGCTCCAGACAAGGCAGCGCCCAGGCGGGGTAGCCGGCCCGCGGTTCAGCGGTGGAAAGTCGGGATCTTCGTTGGTCGGAGTTGGTTGAGGAAAGCCTGTTCCATCGATTGGAATGGAAAGTTTGCCCAGAAAGCTCACTGACACGTCCAAAAAACCGCGCGTTGATGGCTTTTGGCACACCAAATCTTCAACCTTTCACCTGCCTCACGCAACGGCAGGCCCCTGACCCGACGTCTCGCTGGCCCATTCCAACATAAATCATGTCAGACTCCCCATGATCGGATGGCACCAGTTCCCCTGGATGCTGT